TCCGAGTTTTACGCTGTTTTCGAGTTTTTTCATTTTCCAGCTCTACTTGTGACTTCTATATCTTTCTGAAGGAACGTCTGTTTAAGCTAATTTTTTTACCATAACAGCAAGTCATTATGTTCTACAAGATAAGGACATATTCGGTCAATTTCAAGAACCCTTGTGTTTTCGTGGGAGAAACCCCATGGAACAGGCCCTTAATAAACTAATCGTAGTGTAAGGAGATATGGTTTATTTTCTCGATTAACAATCAACAAAGTTTTCTCCTGCTTTCTGTCAACAAAAGAAATAGGTCTAAAAGTAGCGATTTTTGATGTAGTCTTGATTGCAATTCACATTATCTCAATCGAATTATACTATATATTAGTTTATATCCTTCAGTTTTAATGAAAATTAAGGATACAAATATATTTTTTTCCTTTTGTCTCCCGTCTTTCATCTACATCAATTTACTATTGATGTTCATCTTTTCAGAAAAAAAGTTGACTATTTGCATGTCTCTTGTTGAGATTTAGTGAACGCTAAGCTCAATCAAAGTTATGCAACATCAGTCTTCCTCGTGGGACAATCTTCGATTGAATGCTCGACGACACGGACATGAAGAAAAGGTTGTGCCTAATATACGACGATTAATTGATGGAATGCTTGCTCGTTATTCGTCAGATTTTGTTGTATTTCGAGAGCTCATACAGAATGCAGATGATGCTAGAGCTACATTCTATGAATTAGAATTGAAATGCAACACTCTTTCGTCATCATTTCAAGAGATGGACTTTCACAGTGGGGAAGTTACCGAAATTTGCACTAAAAACAATGGTCAGATATTCACTGAGGCTGATTGGAAACGCGTGTCTGCCATTGCCGAAGGGAATACAGATGTCGCATCAATAGGCCAATTTGGTGTTGGATTTTACTCCGTGTTTTCATACACTGAAGAGCCAATGATCCTATCAGGAGAAGAGTACATGCTATTTGTTTGGCACGATGATGTTTTAAGGACACTGCGTCATAAACTACCCGTTGAACAACAATCCAAAGTAACTTCGATTATTCTGAAAATGAAAAATAGACATGTTCTTGAAGTTGTATCGAGCTTAAATAAGGATAGAACAGTAGAAACGCAGAATAGAAAAAAAAGTAATGACGACATGCCGGCAATCGATTTGTTTCAACTCAAAGCTTATTTTGCTAGAGGTAAATATATAATAGAAAGATGTACAAATAATTGTATTTTTTTCATTGTGAATAGTACTTTCATTTACAAGACATATTGTTAATCTTGTCATCAAAATCAACAGTGTAACAGTATTTAAAATATCCAAAACACAATCGATCGTGCCATCTATTCAAGGCATGTTGGCATTTAAACCACAATCTTCAATGAACAATATACTTTCACTTGATTCATTGGTACACACCAAACAAACATTTACCATTAGGAACGGCCCATCGATCACTCTCGGTCATGTTACTCTTGAAGCACAACTAACTGTTAACAAACAATTATATAACACTATTCAGGAGATTTTGAAGAAGCCTTTACCATCCATCGTTCATATTCAAATATTGTTTGTACCGACGAATGTGAGTTGAAAATCTACTTTTACTCTTATTATTCTTATCTTTGCTAGGTTATCATCGAACAACAACAATTAGAATTATCAACAACAAGAAATGATCTTAATATTCAAATTCTAAATTCAATACTACCTCTTAAATTTCAGGGTCATGAAATTCATCCGTCAGGTTTTATATTTATTGGCCTTGGAACATATCAATCCACTGGTATTGGAATGCATGTTTATAGTCATTTAATACCAACCATTGAACGCGAAAATCTTGATCTTCAAAATCCGTATATTGCAAAATGGAATAAAGAACTTCTCACATCCGCTGGACTAATCATTCGACATATCTATAACCAGACAATACTTAATAGCTCACAGAGTACCTCAAATAAATGTTATAATGCTATCCTTGCGCCATATTCATTTCAACCATCGACGCCACAGGAACAAATAGGTATGTTGATGCATGAATGATCTTGATTAACAGTGGATTAAACATGAATTCTTTTTTGCAGGTTCTCTTATTCTGCAAGGATTTTTAGCATCGAATAAAAAAATTCTCGTACCGGTCAAATTATCACCGTCCGATTGTCATCTTGTACTCGTATCATCCAATCAAGCTTTTCTCGCTGATTCAAAACATATACATTCATTTCTTTCATTTCCACTTGTACCATTGGAAATTACTAAAATTGGTTTTTTCACAGTTCTTAAACGATTTAAATTAATCAATAATGCAGATGAATACATCATCGAAGATCAACTCGCTTCATCCATTCTCTTACCTATCGAATTAATTGCCTTATTAAATTGGTTATGTAGTAACGAAGTGTGCAGCAATGATTATATTAGACGAGTGCTTTCCATCGTTTGTTTCCGTGAAGATATGAAGTCACCAATTATTTCATTGGGAAAAGTGAAATACTATAATGCTTCAAACATTCCCTCAGTTCTTCCTCTACCACCTAATATTTTACCGATGACTATAGCTAGTCATTTTTCTCGAGAACAACTACAGAACAATTTCTTTCTTTCACCATGTTCTTTCACGAAACTGATTAATTTTTATTTAAATGAAAATCAACATTATTTACTTCAAAATGACAAAACAGCAGAATGTTTGCTTAGTCTTTTCTCACAGGAACTAAGTCAATTTTCGAAACTAGAATCGAAACAGATACAAAATGTTCTTTCCACGATTGAATGTATATCAACAACACAAGGCATGAAACTACCAAGTCAAGCATATATTCCATCATCGTTTCTAACACCGGAGTTGCCTGTCATTACACTCAATCTATCATCGAATATTGAGAAAAGTAGAAGAATAAATTATAAACATCAGGATGTTAATCTTGTCTCAGATGACTTTCTCAAACATATTGGATGTCGTATTTTAAATATTAAGGGTATTGTGGATGGTATTACGGCGGCACCAAATCGTGAAAATATGCAAATATTAATTGACACTTTGATAAAAGAACGAAACAATATGAGCGATTCAGATTTCAATGAATTAAAACATAGCAAATTTCTCATAGGTTAGTAGAAACAAAAAGAAAAAAAATTAGACATTGCTTTTGTTGTAATCTTTTCCAACTTGAGAAATATAATAATATATAAAGTATGAATAAGAGTTTTATAGTGAGGCTTTATTGTTAAGTCTTTTTAAGTTGATTGGATTAAACAACTTAAAAAAACATCAACTATCGAACTTTTTCGAGACAAAATATTTGAATTATCATCATATAAAATAATTCACTAGACACTACCCTGACAATCTGTTTTTTTATATGTTGATATTTTTATTATTCTATGATATATATATATGTTTTTGTATAGGAACAACATTAAAATCGACTGAACGTCCAGTGACATGGTATAGTCCTGAAGAGCTCCATTTTCCAATTGTTGCCGAAGAGTTGAAATGGCGTACGTTACTCATCATCGATTGGCATGATGTACATATTCACTCAGCTGAGTATGTCTTCCTAAAGGAACTCGGTGTACGTGAAGTGCCTGATTTGAATAAGTTAATGGATCGAATTATTGAAGAACACGATAGTACACAACGTTCATACATGAGAACAAAAAAAAGTTATAGGCTACCAATCGCACTTCAATTTTTCGCCAAAAATTTTCAAAAGCATTACTTCACATTATGGGAAACGAGCAATCCAAAACAAGCATTTCTTCCATCACGCTTACCAACAGAGAACAACTACGAAAATGTAGTTCTGTCTTCTCCAGACAAAGTTGTTACAGACACAAACCCATTGTGTGCTACTCTTCTGCCCGAAGTGACTAAATTATTCAATAAGCATTTTAAAATATCGTTGTTGGGTATCAAGACACACCCTACATTACCACAAGCGTTTGATATTCTCATGGAACGCAAAAATGAATTGTTCATGCTTGAATGGGCTCGTGAGATTTTTGCTTATTTAAACGGTCTCGATGGTCTAAATCAACAATTTATTAAGCACTTGTCCAATATTGCTTTCATTCCTGTACCAGGTTTGTTGATATTAGATATAAAAGAAAATATGCAGATCAAATGATAATTTTTTTAGGCACTTCTACATTTATGAAACCATCGGAAGTCTTTATCCGTTCGAACGTTCAAAAACTGGCAATTGAATCAAGTCAAAATTTCGAAACTCAAACTCTTGACAACATCAATACGAGTGGTCTGATCGACTTTGTTGATTTCGGGCTAAAGGGCAACAGTTTCCTTTTGAGTGTCGGAGTTCTTCATGATCCAACATCTTCAATAGTTGCCGAGTTGCTAATAAATCGACAAGCGAAGTACTTTGCAAATTTTACAGAAGACAATAAGATTTTGAAAGGCAAGATACATATTTACATACAATATCTCAAACAACTGGCAGTTGCTGCTAGTTGTACCTCTGAACTTCACCAGGAGCCACTTCAAACACGACTAAAAAATGAACCATGGTGTCTTGGTTTTCGATTAATTGAGCTTAGCGAGAATGATACGCAGGAAAAACCTGAAATTGTGAGACCAATGGAAATTTACCTTGATGACGATCATCAATGTGCTGTCAATTATAAACCATTGTGTTCTCCGGATGATCCAGCATTGCTTAAATTATACAAAACATTTGGAGCTAAGTGGCTATCAGATTGTGTACATCGACAGTTAGTTCATACAGGCAAGTTGAAGATTATCTTGTAGTTGAATAAATTTAATGAAGAATGATGGCTAATAATCCATGTAAAAAGAAAGATAATCATGAAAAATCTGATTTTTATTCGATGTATAATCATACAATTCTTAATCAATAATTTACTCAGAAAATAATCATAAACAAATCGATTATCTTTGCAATTTGATTATGATTGATTAAAAATTAGATTTGTTGCCATTATCGAAACAACTTTTGTTATATGGGAAAGAGCTAGTTATGACTGAAACTAATTCACAATAACGAGAGTTATCAAGAGAGTTCATTATAACTTTCGTCACTGTGACCGTCATGACCTCTGGCACTTTTGGTCTCCTCATTTCACTGAAGCTTGTCCACCAAATTCTGTCAAATTAACTCATCTATCCAGTCTATGTATTTACATTAGTAGCAGAACCATCCTATCTTCTATTTCATGCATAAAACAAGGGATAGAATCAGATGCCCTATACTGATTGCTTTCAATATTTTTCAGTCAGTTTTTGTATGTCTCCATAAAATCTGAAATTTTTTCTCTATGTGTGTGAAAATATATAATTCACAAAGTCGATAGAGGTGTAAGATACCTAATATATGATTGGTGAAAGTTTTGTTGTTCTAGTTGGAATTGACTATCAGTGAGCATAAGAATATCCATGTTCATCATATGTTGAAATCTCAAACTCGATCTTTTCTACCTAATTAATGAAAGCGTAGCTTTTTTTCTCTTTTACAAGGTAAATCCAATAAAACAGCTCGAGGTGAAGAGTTACGTCATTTGATTCAATCTCGTCTTCACTTTTTGTTTGTGAACAAACAAGTAAGCATTGTTGTTGAAAAATAAAAACATGATTCTAATTTTACGCTTCCAGCGCGAGAAAATAGATGGTTTGAATGCACAACGTGTCAACCAGCTTTCGTCTCATCTGTTCTCTGTTAAAGAAGCCGACAAAATTCAATGCAAATTAACGTTTCGAAAAAAGACTATTACCCTTGATGTGAGATAACTTTGAATACGCGTTAATTCTTATTAATTTATACATGAATTTTAGCCAAATGTTACTAGTTCCTGCGCGCTTATACCAAAAAACCATCAGGTGATTCTGTATTTTCGGAGAGATCTACGAGAATTTGATTTTATGGGCATTGCCAGCGAACTCGCTCGATTCGTTTTTCAAAAACCACCAGAAACTGTGATTGATGCAATAAGTAACAGACTTTCTTTGTCCTTGGAGATACTCAAGCAACATAATGTTCCCGTTGGATTGATTGAAGATCCGCAATTGAATGAAAGATTCCTGTCGAATTTAGAAACCGACATTCGGCAGTCATCACTGTCAATAAAGATAAAGGCACAAAAACCTAACGTATTGCGAAAGATATTTGGGTGAGAAAATCATTGTTTACAGATAAATCGATTAAATATAAGCAATCTGTTAGATGAGTAAAAAA